CCCGTTAATCGCGATAGGTGAAAAATGAGGGCCCGACCACTTTTTTTTCCGCCACTGAGCTGATATCAGCTGTTAGGCTCTGGTCATCTAAAGTTTTGGAGGTGCACTTATATACCATTGTATTATCAGCATAGATATGATTGGGCGTCTTGGGTATGACGATAAACTACATTCTGCAGCAAGGCCTCTAATAAGGAAGTATTGAGGAGCATGGAACCACATCTTAATTTCTGTTGTTCCCAGGTTGACCCTGACCCGGGGTGGTAACACCTGTTTGGGTTCCATCTATGGTTAAATTGTTAACCCCCAAACTTAGGTCAAAACACTATGAAAGTATAAACATAGATTTTTATAGTAAAAATGCAAGCAACACATTTTCATAGTGAAAAAACACCAGTAATACATTTTTGTAAAAAAATATTATCAGCAATATATTTAAAAAATTACAAGCAATAAATTAAAAAAAATTACCAGCATTACATTTGAAAAATTACCAGCAATACATTTGAAAAATTACCAGCAATACATTTGAAAAATATTATCAGCAATATATTTAAAAAATTATTAGCAATACACTTGAAAAAAATTACCAGGAATATATTAAAAATACTACGAACAATACATTTAAAAATATTACCAGCAATACCTTCAAAAATATTACCAGCAATACCTTCAAAAATATTATCAACAATATATTTAAAAAATTACCAGCAATATATTTTAAGAAAATATTACCATCAATACATTAAAAAAAATTTCCAGCAATACATTTAAAAATATTACCAGCAATACATTAAAAATTTTACCAGTAATATATTAAAAAAAAACGTTACCAGCAGTACATTTAAAAAAATTACCAGGAATACATTCAAAAAAATTACTAGCTGTAGATTTTTGACAACAAATATTACCAGCAATACCAAATTTTTGTAAAAGAAATTACTAATTAAAATGACCCATAAGGATATTGACATGCTGATAAACAAACAAACAAACAAACAAATAAACAAATGATGATAGTATATTATGAGGCAGATTATTTATGTAAAGTAGAGAGTTGAATTGAGAAGCGAGTCTTGTGGACGACTGTGTTGATCACTTGTGCCTCAGAGAACTGGACATTAACGACTATCTTTAGGGTCACTTTAAGAAGAGAAAACTCTTTTAGCGATTTCATTTAACTGTATAAAGTTAAACTGAAATTAAAATATATTACTGAGTTTTCTACGCACTGATGCTCTTGGGAAACTCATGGGTTCGTGTTTTTTCCTTTTCGCCTCGATTGCTTTCTCTAGCTTGGCTGGCAGCCAGTCTAAAAGAAGAAAAACTCTGGATCTTAAAGCGCGGAGAAGTTAAAAGGAAATAAATTCAAGTATATTTCGCCAATTATTTGGTAATTAATACGTATTAAAGAAAAAGAAACTGTGGAGGGCCATGATCCCTTACATTTTGAAGAGAAAAAATCCCAGAGTAATGGTATTTTTTCGACATAACTGAGAGGATATTTTCTGATCTTAATTTTGGAGAAATACTACGAATATCTTTTAGTCTTTGTTTTCTGTTTTTGTAAATGACGCACAAATATGGAATAAATTTGGTTTTGTGTGGTTAAAGAGACTTTCTATTAAAGTTTTTCCATTTGATAAGAGAAGTGGTAAAAATGCTGGGGAAGGATGTAAAAAGCGGTGGAGACGGGGCTGTTGATTTTAATTCTTAAAAATGATTTGCTTGCTGAAAATACTTATTCACTATCTACATTTTTTTATCTCATGCTCTCTCCCTCTCTTTCAGTATATGTTGTCATTATCTATCTATCTATCTATCTATCTATCTATCTATCTATCTATCTATTTCAGTCTGTTCATTATCTATCTAAGCAAATTCGTTCATTCATTCTATCTATCTATCTATCTATCTCATTCTATTCATATCTATCTATCTATCTATCTATCTATCTATCTATTTCTAGTCTTTTCATTATCTATCTATCATTATTCAGATCATTCATTCAATCTATCTATCTATCGTTATCTATCTATCTATCTAGGATTCTTTTCGTTAGGAAATAGGTTTTTTCATACTTTTGTTTCCTACAAAATTTCCTTTAAACCTTTGATCTAATATAGTTGGCCTTGTACCAAACTAACCAATTCTTAGCAGTTTTTGTCTCGCATTCTAATTTTTATTTCCACCACAACGACAGACGCCATGAAACCGCTTTCCAACAAGAGCATTAACCCTTCCAATGGCATTATTGTGATTGAATACATAACCAAAGTTTCCAAAGAAAAGATCATCTTATTCCGTTTCTGAAGGCAAACATTCTGAAGATCAGGAAACAGATTCTTGTTAAGGTTGGGTTGCAAATGTTGCAACACGAAAGTCCCTCAAGGTAGAGTTGATTTATTCACTGACGCTTGATCCTTTCAGCGTTGATTTTTTTCTTTCTCAAGAGAAGCTAATCACCTCTGTCTGAATTTCTGAGATGCGAAATTCTATCAATTATTACACGCCGATCTATTTGGATCAGTGACCTCATCTTGGTTGTTTCGACCGTTGTGTTCTCTGACCTTCTTAAGGTGTCTATTGTATCTAAATTGCCGTACATCATCCAGGTACCTTCGGGAATCCACTCTAGATGTTGATTTATCCCTTACCTTTCTCTTCATCTGAAGATACGCATAAAAAGGCATGAATAAAAGAAAAGGTTTCTTTTTCCTAGACTGGCAACTAGCCAAGGCAAAACAGACAAGTCTTTCCGCAAAATGTAATACTGGTAAAATTTTTCTCCAAAAAATTATTGCTGGTATTAAAACTTATTTTTATATTTTCATAGTGTATTGACTTCCTTTATGGAGTCATCTATTTGCCCATAGCTGGGACCCTAACAGGTGCTACCACCCTGGGTCAAAGTGGACCTGGGAACACTAGCAATTAAGACGTGGTTTCTTGCTCCTCAAAACCTCCTGATCAAAGGCCTTGCTGTCGGATGTAGTTTATCGTCTTACCCAGGACGCGGATGTAGTTTATCGTATTACCCAGGACGCGGATGTAGTTTATCGTCATACCCAGTACAGCAATGACGTTGCTCAGGCAAGCTCAAGCAAGATGTAGTTCATAATAAGAGTCTGTCTCTGTATGCACCACACAGTGTTTTCTTTCAAAACTGTTCCTCGATATTTGATAGCTTTCGTAATTTTTTTTTGAATAGTAATGATGACTGTTTTTAATGAACAAGACAGAACCGTCATATTTACAGGCCAGTTAAACGAGGCCAAATCTATTGGAAAATACAACATATTAACACAAAATTGCAGACCTCTACCAGTCGACAATCAACATCCCTGTCAAACAATTTGGTAGCTTTTGAAATAAGACAATATATATAGTGATTTTCCAAGCGTAGCTTAGATGTGGCACAAGGCCGGAAGTATGGAGCACCCAGTGAGGATTGAACTCACTACTCAGTCGTAATTGTTCTAGCAAGACAAGCTTGCTAAACATTACACCACCTCGAGGTGCCCCTAATGATTTTCTAAGCGCTGCTTAGATGTGGCACAAGGCCGGAAGTATGGAGCAACCATTACACCGCCTCGAGGTGCCCAAACAAACACCGTATATACTCGTGTGTAAGTCTACTTTATGTATTAGGCAACACCGGGATTTTTTTTTTTTTTGTGAAAACCTGATTTTTTCACATAGCTCGTGTAATAATGCGACCCCGGCTTCTTAGTAATATTAGTAAGCTTACCTCAGTCAAATATTGCAATACTAGACATTATCCTGGACATATAGCAAATAAAATGGTCTTCATTTTCTTTTTGTACAAATTTACTCTAAAATGACGAGAAAAACCATCGAAGTAAAATATCTGATACGAAGATTTAGATACAGGACTTTTATTTTAATTCACCCCTGAAAAATGCATGTTTTTC